CATTCCTCGACTGGACTGCTGCAATGCGCTGTACCAGGGGCTGCCCTTGAAGGGCACTCAGAAGTTACAGCTGGTCCAGAAGGCAGCATCTCCGGGACTGAGGGTGCAACTCGAGGCATCCATGCAACACCTCCACTCCGAAAGCTGCACTGGGTGCCAGTTGGCTTCTGGGTGCAATCCAAGTGCTGGTTGTCACCTTTGGAGCTGCACATGGTTCGGGGCCTGGGTATCTGTGGGACCGCCTTTTCCCAGAAACATTTGCCCACCCAATAAGGTCAAGTGGAGGGGCTTGCTAGGGTCCCCTCAGTCAGAGACTGTCATCTTCAGGGCCCATGCAAGAGTGCCTTTTCAGTCACTGCTCCCCTCTTCTGGAATAGACCCCCCCCATGTGAGCCCAGCCCCTTTCCTTCTGTTTTTTTGGGAGGGTGATAAAGTATGCTTGTTCCACCAAATTAGGGAGTCTGGACTGCCATAAGCACCTCTCAGTCACACAATGGGTTCCCCTTGATGATTGTGATGCTTTTCATTGCAAACCCCAGTTCCTCAGGGACGTTCCCGGTTGCTATTGCTGAACTTGCTCTGTGGTCTGAATCCCAGCTGGGAATTGGGGACAAGACGCTGCTCAGAGTTGGCAGAGGGGAGCAGTCAGTCAGCCCTGAAAGTGAGGAAGTCAAGATCTTGGCTGCTCTCCTCTGGACACGATCCAGGTTGCCAAGGACATGGACATGCCTAGAAGTTGGAGTCCAGAACAGGAGCCAATATTCCAGGTGTGCTCTGAGCGACGCGGAGCAGAGACGAACAATGACGCCTCTTGATCTTGATGCTGGACTTCTGTTGCTGCAGCTGAGGATTGCATTGGCCCTTTTTGGAACGATGACGCTCTCTTGGCTCACATTCAGCTTGTGATTTCCCCTGGTTACTTTCTGCTTATCCTGCTGCCGTGTATGGCCCTACCTCATCCAATATTCACGCCTTGGAGTTTTCCTGTCTGAATGTGGAAATTCGGTTGAAATTCCTCTTGTTGGTTGCTGCCTGTCGTTCCAGCTTGTCAAGATCTTCCTGGATCTCAAGAGTCTTCTGAGATGCTTGCTATATCCCCATCTTCTTCCATCTGCAAATTCTGGCAGCTGGGGATGCTCCTTCCCCCACCAGCCCCCCCCCCCC